AACTTTCCCCACCAATCTGCAAACAACCACCATACAACCTTCTGAAGTTTACATAACCAATCTTCTTTGGAGGATATTTTTCAGAAGATCAGATGAGAAATCTTACCCTTCTCCATAATTGTAGACCTCATGAGACATTTTGAAGAAGACATCAGCTCCAAATCTCCCCTTTATGTATCCGCTTCCTGCTCGTTCGCATTCGTAAAAATCACAAAAACCATCTTCCCAGACAAGGATCCTGAGAACAAAATCCAATTTTGTGTTCAACATTAATCAAAATTACACATGGTTTTGTCATAAGATAGATGGACTTACCAGTTCCTATTGTTTGCTTTGGCGCGATTCAGTGCTCCTGCTCCATGATCATCCCACCTGCAACAAAGTAATGAGTAATGTAATGGTTATTACAGAGCTCAACATGATTGAAGGAAGTCAAGTTTGATTTGTAATTGATTTTTGATGACTAAAACTTCATGTTTGGCTTTTTTGAAGTCGGTTTTCTTACTTTGGTGGAGGGTAATTCCGAGGCAAGACCCTCCAGAAGACTGCATACACCCATTTGGAAGAGTTAGATGAATCTGAACATGTGCATAGGCTTCGAAGTGTGTGCTGTAAGAGACAGTTAAGCATGGGAAGCCCACCTTCCATTGTCCACAGAGAGAGAGAGAGAGGACTGAGGGGGCATAAGCTACAGTGTACTAGTGTGTTTCCAGTCCCAACTGCAAGGAAAAATCAAAGAAAGAAAATGCAATGCCCAAACATAGTAGGAGAAGAGTGAGTAACACTGTCCAACTTGCCAAAATATAGACTGCCCTTGTGGAGTGGTACGACCGTAGCACCTTTTTCATCGTTTAGCCTCTCTCTCTCTCTCTCTCTCTTTTTCTCAGTTGTTTGGTTACAATTAATCAGCATTGAAAGCAGTAAGTGTGATGTAATAGCTTTTTTGAAGTACATTTTGTAGTTCGTATCATAGAGGGTTGCATTATGCATCGACTGGTTACCCATCAAGTACTTTTTTTGCTTATCTTTCAGTTGTAAACACTCGTATCTTGATTCAAAACTTCATTAGGAGATGGATTGATTGGCAATTACAATGAATCAAGCTTACATAATTGGCTTAGGCTAGATTGTTTGTGTAAAATGAACTGTATGGAACAGAATTAGCTGAAACTCTTGTCTGAGTTCTTACAATTCTGTCGTATCCCACACTGTAATGCATTTTGTGGCAATAGGGAGGCCGACAGAAAATAAGAGTGTGCAGAAACATGCATAACAAAATTTCATGGAGAAGAAAAATTTACTCAACCAAGACCGAACTCATTCATTGTCATGGGGGTCAGATTGAAGCCAATCCAACAACGTTACAAGAAAAAAAAAAATCTAAAATGGCCGAATAATTATATATTGAAGTATATAGGTGAAGTTGGTTGAGTTTTCAAGTCCAAAATCTTAAATATCAGCTAGAGTTGAAGACTTTTTAAGTTAACTAATGTTGACAGGTCTAAAATTTCTTCCTTGAGCCTGGCCATTTTAACCACGTTGGTACGGGGGAGGTCACTTTCTCTTATCCTAGTCAATTACCTTCAATAATTGTGTAAACTTATACCCAATTCTGTTAAACCATCCACTCTAAATTTCTATGGTGGGAGGACATAATCTATGGAAGTAGAAGCAAAGATTGCAACCATGTACGAAAAACCATTGGCCTTTAGCAAAAGCAAAAGTTGCAGTCTATGAAGCACAGACATACTGTTTTAATTCTTAGTGGTACTGGTACCTGTACAAATTTTTCTTTGTAGATTTTGTTATATTATTGTATCCGTATTATATATCACATCCGATATGCTTACAAGGTTGCAGCAAGGTTATGCAAAACACTTCCTAATCTGAAGTGGCCTAATTTTTAACTGTTTCCGATTATCAGTCTAGCAGTTGACATGAGGATAAGGGATTGGCTGTACCTGCAGTGGTCCTCCAAAGAGGACTAGTTTTTATCACACCAAACTGTCCCTCCCAAGGTTCATTAGGAAGTTTATCTCTACAAGTGCTAGTCATTTTCTACTTTCTGTGAAGGTATTGATCTTAGACCACCAAATTACAATTTGATAAACTTAAGGCCATTGTGCTGCTGTTATACTCATTTCACCTTAGTTAAAAGTTCAGACCACACAAGAGCTAGTTGCATGTATCCTTATTGCAAGTATTCCTGCAGTTGGTAATCTCTCTCTCTCTCTCTCTCTCATCAAATGATTGAGCCCCCATCCATGGAGTTTATACAATGACAGGAAAGAAAAATGTGTAAACATTTGTTATCAGTGGAAAGTTGAGACTCTTCATATTGAGACTGATTGTTGGCTAACCTGTTGGAGATATATGACACCACAAACGTACCTTATCACAGTCCCTTCTGTCCAATCCCTATTGGATTGTCTCTCTCTTCTCTCTCTCTCTCTCTCAACACATGCTATTGTTTGTGTATTCATGGAAAGAAAGTTGTAGTTGATCTTGACTATCAGCATCCCATTAAGGCCGACAATACTCAGAATCCGCAAAATCAACACAAACATAGCGGGTTCGGATTAGCCTCAACAGGTTTTGGCTGTAAAAGGATGGATCCGCTGCACCTGTTTAATAAGTGGGTTTATAGACACAAACACGACTAAACTCAACATATACCCAATACGAATCCAACTCCACTACAAATTTATCTAAATTAGGTTGAATTTTTTTTTTTGACAAACCATGACTAACACGGTTTAAACACACGACACACTACATCCAAGCGTAAACTAAATGCATGAGATGGCAAATTGGATTTATAAAGAAGACAAAAGATGGGACATTTAGTTGAAAACTTTGGTCATTTGCACGGGACTAAGAACTTGTGGTCCACGAATCCTTTCCAATCAGAGTGGGGATAGCCATTATGAACTTGATGAAGGTGTGTCCCATTCAACTTTTTCTTGCAATAATGTCATGGATTGTGCATCATCACATTATCATCCATAAGGGTGTGTGTGATAGCTAGTATCAGGCCCATCTACTCTATGAATGTGACTGTGTTTACCTAATCAAAGTTTGTGACCAAGTGTATACATGCAAAGCAAATGTTGTTTTAGCTACATACATGAAAGGAATACTGTCATTTTTCCTTTTAGCTACTTACATGAAAGGAATACTGTCATTTTTCCTTTATCTTCTTCTTTTCGTCTTACAATTTTACCTTTATCGGCCTTTTAGCTTAATCATATGAGCATTTGCTCTTTTCCGTTTAACATAGAAGCGAGTTCTTTTCAATAACTCAAACTATACAAATCAAGTGCGATCATCTAGACAGACACGTTTCGCTGGTATAAAAGTTACCACCCATCAACTTCTGAGTTAAGAACCATTAGGTGATCTGATAAAAACAAATGGAGACATCCAACAGCAAACTTTAGACTTTAAAACTTCGCAAAGAAACAAATGAGCAGCAGCAGGTACCAGCCAAGCTTTAATGCCCATAGTACAACAGATGCACTCTAATGTGGAGGCAAGTAAAGAGACTTTGACAAATACAAATTGTGGGACAAAAGGGTATCCCACTATTTTTTAAGGGGATAATGCTATGCTTATCAAATTTTTTTACCAAATCTTCATTCCAAATAGTGTGACACGGTTTTTCACTATCAGATAAGTGGATTCCATTTACATTCAATGACAGAGATTGCGCCACATCAATTGGGATGAAGTTTTGATAAAAAATTTTTTGGTAAGTATCACATTTTCCTTCTTAAAGAACATCCTTGGATTGGTCCTCCCCTCCAGTTCAAGACTCACTTTCACACTTTCACATTGCCTTGTCTTTTAGATCATTGCAATAGAAACCTCCATTGGAGTGATTTCAAGCCTGCATCTCATTGTTTAGGCATACCTCGTTATGTTTGTTACCATTTTGTTACATTCCCGGAGGAATGATCCTCTATATGTGGCTAAAGGAAGCCTCAAAAAGTGAAGTTAACTCAAGCTTGTCCATGGAACGAACTTTTAGTGGCGAAGTTCCTGCCCTACCCTGTTCCTGAGGGAACTTTGGTGGAAGTCTAAGGCTCTTGTTGGCTATCAGGGCGTATACCTACGAATTTGAAATCTCTATAACTCCCGAGTGAAAGGTCGGGCTATCCTGTTTATGATTCTCAATCCCACATTGCTCGATAAGGAGTGTGTGAAGTAATACATAAGTGTAAGTTTTTGTACAAAAATCGTGTGCTGCACTCCATTAGTCCAAAGCGGATGATATTGTAAAATAAAAGTGTAATTTTATGATTTTCTCAAACATTGCTTATTTGAGAACTAAGTTTATAAATTTGATTAAAATTTGAATAAGAAGAGCGTAAAATTAAAAGTAATTTTAATCCACAACCTATAACTTTATGAATAATACTATTTGAATCTAAAAATTTGACCTAATTTATTGATCTAATAATGTAATTTTAGTAAAATTATTGAATTAATATTATGTTCTAATATTTGATGAGGCCTACAGTCAATTTAATGATAATATTCTATATTCTAATTTTTGATAGGACCGGCGATTAATTCAACGATAATAATAAATTATGTCAATAAATTAGATCAGTAATTTAGATTTCAATAGCATTGCGCATGACTTTAGAGTCAACTTGTTCAAAATTAATCCCATAACTAGATCACATTATACTCACGTGACTCTTTTTACGGAAGGCAAACATTACATTAATAAAAGAAGGTCTCACCGCATGTCACTCTTTTTATTTTAGAATTATTGACGATTTTTAATTAAGGGACTTAATGACGGATTTGAACTAGGGGACTTAATTGAAACAAAACTTAAAGTTTAATTTTAAGGACTTGATTATTTTAATTGATAATTTAGAGAGACCAAATAAAAGTTAAGTGTAAAATTTGAGGGTAGAAAGTATAATTTACCATTTAATTTCTACCGCCACCTAATAGCACCAGCCAGGTGTTTGATAAGAAAAGACGAAGGTCACAGTCGAAGAAGTAGTCTGATCTTTCTCTCTCTGTCTTCTAATTATTTGATAATCACCTCCGATCTTCACCAATCCGACACTCCTCTCCGTCGGTTACAGTTACACCATATCTAGAGCTCAGAGTCTCTGGATCAAACATGGTTCAAATGGAGTTGCTTGGGATGGACTTTAGCTGCGTAGTTGGATCGCTGAGCAACGGCAAGTTTCCCGAAAAAGACTGTTTGCTTCCGTTAATATCGAAGCTCCTAGGCTACAGCATCATTGCTGCCTCCACTACCGTCAAAGTCCCTCAGGTAATTCCATTGTTGAATTTAGGTCGACACCCACCATTAATCAAGCCCTAAAAAGATATTCTCTTTAATTGAAGTTCCAGATTAATTTACTGTTGAATTGAATGATCAACCTTTTTTTTATTCATATATCTTCCGCTGCTTGTTTGAAAAAATTGTCGAGCCGTTTATTGTGAAAGTTTAGTTACCTGAGGCAATATGAATGAGGGAAACAAACATGTTGTGATAGTGTAATATATCGTACTTTTCTGTTTATGCAATGGTGCTACATTTTCCCACCTTGAAAAGGATATAATATACACTTGTAGTCAAGATGCTTGGTAAAGGTTTACTTGTCAAAAAGGGGAAAAAAGGTTGCTTGGTTTTTAATTTTTAAATCTTTTCTCGTTCCCCCACACCCTGACCCAGAGACGCTAGGAGAGGTGGGCACGCCACATAGAAAAGGAAATAACAAGTGAAGAAATGAAAAAAATATATGAACAGTGTGCAGTTAAAGATGTTGATAATCTTTGAGAGTATTAAGTCTTATGGTCTTTTCTTCATGAATAGTATATGTGTATGTTCAAAAAGTATTTTATGGGTTACAGGAGTATTTAACTTGAACATTCCTAATGAAAGCTTGCCTCACCTCGAAATTAGATATAAAGCACTATTGGCAGTAAAATTCGACCATAATTGCTGAACCCTAAGGTTTATTAACTGTATTATCCTAGTTGCTGATTGATTACATGAATGTGCATCTTGTTCCTATAACATCATTAATTGTTTGTTTGAACGGTGATCCAAGGCTGTGATACTATCTGGAGAGGTATGTTTTTGCAGATATTAAAAATTTTGCGGCACAAAAGTGTCAGAGGGCTTAGTGTTGTAGCCTTTGAACTTGAAGTAGTTGGCTATACCATTGCCTTGGCCTACTGTCTTCACAAAGGGCTACCGTTTTCAGCCTATGGGGAGTTGGCATTTCTTCTAATCCAAGGTACATTGAACAGCATCTTCTTGTATCTTCCATCTTCCCTTTGATAGAAAGAAGTCTAAATAAATTGACAGAACTCTGGATTGTTTTAAAGCTTCTTTCAAATCCCTTTTTTCCCATTCTTTCCTGGGGGGCCTTTGTCCATTTGAAGTGAGTAGGGATCACAGTGATAAGTCCCACTTGTGGTTGGTTGTTTCTTAAAAAACAAATTTGAATGAATAAGCAGTATTAGTGTTGGTTGTTCCAATATTCACAGTGAAGGGATTGGGTGTTGGAAGGTTGCCGTGTTTCCTTCATTATCTTATAAAAGTAGTGGGCAGCATCCAGAAACGAATCTAAATTGAAATGCAATCTTGCATTTCTGTTCTAACAATCTGGTGGTCTAGAATGAACGAAGAGAAAAGCAAAGAGACACTGAAAAGGAGAGTCCAGCAACTCAGCTTTTTCAAGTGGAAGTTGTCCTGAAGCAATAATCCATTGTAGAACAATCTTTTCTCTTGGAATTTCTAGAGGACATCAATCAGAAGGAAGATTCTGACCTGAACCTTACTGCAGTAACTAACCTTGTTTCAGTAACTGAAATGGATTGCTTAGAACTTCCAGGACCCAGATTTGACCTCTTTCCGACCCATATTTGACCACTCTACTACTTACATTTTTCTGCCATAAGTTTGATATTATTGTTAATTTCTTAAATCAAATGTGATATGCTAGTCAGAAGTAGGTCAGCTTAAAATACCAGGCAAAGTATGCAAATCACATCTTCAGTAAATTTTTTTGCACATGGAATTTTTCTTATCTTGGTGTTGTAGAAGCTTGATGGCTGTCTCATTCTCTCGAATGCTTCTTGTACTTTTCTGTTGCAGCTATAATCTTACTGGCAATAATCTACTATTATTCTCAACCTATGGGAACAACAACCTGGATTAAGGCACTGCTGTATCCTACTTGCTTGCTGGAGTAGATGATTGATGGCATTTTTTGATTATCTAACTTGCAGATTGCTCTCTTCTGTTTATTAGAAAGTTGCTCCCTGAGTGGGAACCAGTGGTGGCACCAGGTTTTTTTCCTGGTGGGGTCATTCAAGAAAAATTTTCCCACAAAGTTTTGACAAATATGATAATGTACTTTGCGTTTCCTTATAAATGTGCAGATATTGTGCTGTGGCACCTACCATCTTAGGTGGTCAAATTGATCCCCTTCTCTTTGAAGCTTTATATGTGAGTTATGCTATCAACTATCCAGTCTGCTCTTTGCAGTCATGTTGGTTTCTTTTTTCTCCTCTCTGTTTCTTGTCTTGTTGACCTCATTGACTTCATTCTTACACGCACAATTGAAGGATGTCTGACCTTTTTGTTATACCAAAATAATATGCTTCAGGCATCCCAGCATGCAATTTTTTTATTCGCCAAGATCCCGCAAATTTGGAAGAATTTTAAGGTAAGTTAATACTCCATCATTGATTTTTTTTCCTGTTTTTCTTGTTGTAATGGAGCACAGTAGAATTTCAGGTTCTTTTTTTGGGTCTTAGGATGATCAAAAATTACAGTTCATCCTGCACAGTAAGTGAATTTCCTCTGATACAAGAGCGTAGAGTGGGAATGGGAGCAGGACTGAGTGAGAGCGTGAAAGAGGTCATTCGTGTAAATGCATATGGTTCAGAGTGCCTCAGAGCGGCATGCATAATTAAAACTTGGTAGAGCTTAGTGGCATGTTGTGTTAGTGCCCCTGAATTTTCCATGGGGTCCGTCCCTCGTACCAAAAAAAATCAAAAGCTTTATTAGGTAACGAGTATTGATGTGCCATGTAGCTTAACCTCCGCAAGGATTTCAATTTGAGTACCAACTGGCACTTGTACTAGTCAAAGAAGTTAAAACTTAAATTGGCACTAAAAGATTCTGATTTCAATTCATAATGGCAATGGCACAGATCTCCTTGATTCAATGAACCCACACTCTGTAAAAATTGATCACAAACTTAATGCATATCTGCACTGAACTGGCTAATTGGCTCTGAAGACCATAGGAAACCACTTCAGAGGAATTTTGTCCTTGTAATTCTCCAATGAGAGGTTCTTTGTCATGTGTGCTCCATTACATAATAAGGGCGCCTTTATTTCACTCATGTTTTTGGAACTTAAAAGGATCTATCTGCTTGTTCAATATAGTTATTTTGATCTCTGTCCTTCCTACTTCCCCATGATATTTTTTGTTGGGATTTAAGATGTAAGGGCATGTTCAGAAAACTCCTCTTGGCTCTCTGGGAATCATAACTGCAACTGTAATTGTAGTTCTTCAGGGTCCTACATGAAAGGCTCTGGTTCTCAACCACAGAAAACCTGACTTCATTTCAGTGAACCACTGAAAGCATAACTTCATTGCTTAACCGCACCATTCTCTTTCTCACCTCCACGTCTGGTGTTATGCTCATATCCACTGTGGTACCAAACTATCTCATCAACATTGATCTTTCTTTCAAATAGGAATGCTTTGTTTTGATAAAGAAGAATCCAATGGACCAACTTGGCACTACATTTGAGAACATTGGTCTAGGGGTGTTTTAACAAGAAAGTGATTTACCAAGCTGTTGATGTCATTCAACTCCAACACAGAACATGATTCAGTAATGTGTTTTATAGCTGGTAATATCAGAATTTAGACACACAAACATGCATGGAGACATGGGAACATACACAAACGCTTGCATTGATTTTCTATGCTACTATTCTATTGGATTTCTAACTGTACTTATGAACTATGTTTCATAATTGGCAGGCTCTTCTGCTAGTTTGTTCTTGTTAGTTTTTCCTTGTTTATTAGTTCTTTTCACTTTTATGCATAGGAGGGTGTTTTCTAGATATCTGTGGTTATATGGGTTGAGGTTAAGGAGGGATTTGAATAGAAACTAGATTTTGGGGTCAAGGGATATTATAATAGCAAATAATGTTATCCTTTGTTTCTTTTAGAATTTTATTCGACCTATTTATGTATATCAATTAGTTGCCATGCTTATATTGATATTGGACTACTATTCTTTGAGCAGAATAAAAGTACAGGGGAACTCAGTTTTTTAACCTCTTTAATGAATTTCGGAGGTTCCACAGGTGAGTTTAGGTTGTTCATTTGACCCAGTCTAGGACATAGTTTATTCTGATTGGTTGTACGTCCTGTATTGGTTGATTTTTTTATTCTGCAGCAAGAGTTTTTACCAGCATCCAAGAAAAAGCTCCAACAAGTGGTATCCTTTTTTGTTGATGCTTTGATAATACTCCCCGTTGTTTACTCTACCGTAGCAAGTGTTTTTTGTGTTTAAAACTAGCTTTTTTTGGCACATCCCTTTTCAAGGTCTTTTAATATATTTCCATTTTCTGTGGCACATATCTTGCAAGATTTTTTGTTATCTTTCCATCTTTCTTGTCAAAAAAGTCACATAATCCTTGCCTTCTTTTTAACTAGCATATCTCATGTGTGTTCAAAAAAAGACAAGTTTATGTTGTGTCTATTAAATGAAAGATATCAGATTTATAGTCTTGCACTGTGCAAGGCACAACCTAAGATAAAAAGAGGCGGCCTGGGAAATGTAGGTTAATTTAGTGGAAGGAGTCAATGACACAAGATGAGTCATGAGTCAAGATGTGGTAGACGTGGAACAAAATTGTTGGGGTCAGGCTTTTCTGAATTCTGAGTTTAATTTGTACGTTGAAAATCGTTTGAAGCTATGTTTATATTCTAATTGAATTTTTTTTTATTTAAAGCTCAATAGCCTGCCTTTGAATAAGGGTGCTCGCATAATTTTATTGTGCTGCTGCTTCCAAGCTGTAATGTTTCTTTACTAGTTACTTTGTCCCATTTTTCTTGTTTGGCTGAGTTCCTTGATTGGTTTGAAGTTATATTGGGCAGTGCAAAAGCTATTTTGACTAATGGTACCATCTTGAGTCAAATAATCATATATCAGAAGCCACATGATAAGAAAGAGAAGAAAACAGATTAGAAGAATGAGAATGGGTCCTGGGAGCTTTGCTTCAATAATGATTCAATTTATCCTGCAAGTAGAGCTGATTTATTGTAACTAGCCCCAGATTGTTGGGTTTGGGCTTTTCTGAGTAGAATTTGTACCTTGGAAATGGTTCAAAGTTCTATGTTTGTATTATAACTGAATTTTTCATGTAGTGATATTTTCCTGTAACGAGGCGGGTCTTATGGGAGCAGCAAGGTTGCTTAATTGGGACGTACGGATCATGTCAAGAAAACAGCCTCTTCGCATGGGGTTAGGGTGTGTATGTCTAGCTCTCCATCAACACCATACTAGCAGGGCTCGTGCATTGGTCTGTAATTGATAAACCTTGAGGTCATTCAAAAAAGGGTCTCCATGGAGCGCTGTTGCTTTCATGTTGCAGTGTTTCTGTAGTGTTTACTGTCACATTTCTTTTTAGCAGTGTTTCTCTAGTGTTTAGTGTCACATAATTCTTATTTTTGCTTTATAGATTCACTTACCTTTATTGCCATGAAAGTATTTGAGTGATCCTTAATTCCTTCAAAGTTCTGTTGGGCTCTCTAATTGGAATCTTGACTAATGGTACCATCTTGAGTCAAATAATCATATACCAGAAGCCACTTGCAAAGACAGGAAGAAAGCAGATTAGAAGAATGAGATTGGGTCTTAGAAGCTTTGCTTCACTCATTTTCTCATTTATGGTGCACATAGAGCAGATTGACATGGTCATGAATGTATAAATGAGGTAGCATGATCCTTCAACATGATTGACCTACCTTCCAAGGCTTTGTGTATCATCAGATGTCGGGCAAAAATATCGAAATTTCTTTCTGCAATTTGATTTACATATGCTTTGCTGACAGGGTTTTCTTTCTGAACTTATATTGATTAATATCTTGCTTACATAGATGTTACTTTTAAATACTTAACAGCTGCTGATATGAAACGTTCTAAATCTGTTTATTTTTGAGTTGGCTCCTCATCTTGGTGGGTAAGATCTTCCAATTACTGTCATGTAGGGTGACAACATCATCCTTCAACCAACTAAACTGTTGGGAAGTTTCAAATTTTTGTTTCATGTTAAAAACAGTCGGACTGAAGCAAAAACTCAAGATTCATGCTTATGATTTTAACTTCATGGAGGACAGTGGACTCTCGTCTCACTTTCTTCAGGGAGAGAAAGCATTGATTGCAAATAGCTTGTTAAGGCAACTGGGTGTACACCTGACGAATCTGGCACTCTTTTATCCTTGTAAATAGACTCCTGTTATTCTTTTTTTGTTTTTATTTTTTTTGGGGGTGGGGTTAAAACCTGAAAGCACTTTCAAACCTTCCTTTTCCAGGAGGAGCCTTAAGGGTTTATTTGGTATGTTTTTTGGTAGGGGGGTTTGGATTGACTTGTCCAAATCCGGGTTTGACCCAAAAATGAGATTCAAAGATAAAATTCAACATTCAATGTTATTTATATTCATGTATGGTATGCGCAGAGATATATGACTACTATGATAATATATTGTATATAAATGATTATTGTGTTTCTTAACTAATTTGTATATATGGGGTATAAATGTTATTTGTATGTTAAACTCCATTAACCAACAGATGAAACTCACCCCCCCCCCCCTTTCCCCTTAGGTTTCATGAAACCCAAGTATGTGAGTTTCATGATTGGCCATGATTGGGTTGAGTTTCAAACCTTAGACTAAATATATAATTGCCAAATATGGTTTAGGGGGTTTATTCCCCAACCCATGTTCCAAACCCCCCCCCCCCCCCAAA